AAAGGTTCCCTAAAACTTCATGCCTACTGCGATTCTGACTGGGCGGGAGATCCTAGGGACAGACGATCAACTACTGGCTATGGAGTATTTTTGGGCCCGTGTTTGATATCATGGTGTGCAAAGAAGCAATGTGTGGTTTCTCGCTCTAGTACTGAATCTGAATACAGGGCTTTGGCTATGGTTGTTGTGGAACTCTATTGGCTTCGAATGCTCCTTAAAGACCTACATGTGCCTCGTCTCTTCCCTCCTGTCATTTGGTGTGACAATCAAAGTGCAATTGCCCTTGCTGCCAATCCAGTTTATCATGCTCGCACTAAACACATCGAGGTGGATTTTCATTTTATTTGAGAAAAGATATTGAACAAGGATGTCTGTACTCATTATATCCCTACAATAGATCAGGTTGCGGATATTTTCACAAAGGGCCTGTCCTCCTCTCGGTTCTAGTTCCTAAGAGACAAACTCATGGTTTGTGATCTCCCCATTCATTTGAGAGGGGGTGTTAAGCCAGACAAATCACGTCCCCTTAATTCTGCAAATCACACTAATTGTGCTGTGATTGATAAGCTAAGATAGGAATTCCAGCATTATTCCTGTAGATGACTGATATCTTTTCTTTTTTTATTAATCCTTCTATGGTGTATAGATTAGACTACCAATTATATGTCTCAACAACTTCTATATAATACATGTTATACAACAGGTTTGGTGCATTGACCAAACCCTTCTCCTGCAATTCTTTCTTAACAATGATTTGAACCACACATTATACGTCAATAATTTAAAAATTTCAACATGAGGTGTGTTGATGGTGGAGAAAAGTTTAGGGTCTCAATTAAGCTCTACAATAGAAGGGGTGTCCAAATTTTTCTTGGACTATAATATCAAATTAAATCAAGTTTTGATTGTTTAATAGTCATTCGATTCTAAAATGTGTTGATAAAATTTAAAAAACATCGTAATTCGCCTCGATTAGTCAAATAGCTATTTTCAACATGAGGTGTGTTGATGGTGGAGAAAAGTTTAGGGTCTCAATTAAGCTCTACAATAGAAGGGGTGTCCAAATTTTTCTTGGACTATAATATCAAATTAAATCAAGTTTTGATTGTTTAATAGTCATTCGATTCTAAAATGTGTTGATAAAATTTAAAAAACATCGTAATTCGCCTCGATTAGTCAAATAGCTAGAATATTATACGATGAGATTCACGAATAGGCCCATTTTGCGAGACGTCAATTTTGGTCCGACTAGGAAGTATCAAATTATTTGAACCACAGACCATGTTTGAAGGGTCAACAAGGAACCATCAAGACTATGTCTTCAAACAGTCATATCACATTAATTCGACTAAGTTTACAATACAGATGCATTCATCTACAAATGGTCAAACTGAATACGTTTAGTGAAAAAACTCGAAGGATCATTGCAATCTCATCCAAACGGTTGCGATCTTGTGCTATAGATGACATCATCATTCAGAGTTCAAGGTACCCTACTATCACTCAACCTACTTCGTCTAGGACTCTCTTGTGCTTTTGATAAGCATCATTGACTTGGCCATTTGAGTTTCTTTGGTCGACACCACATTGGTGTCCCCTTAAGATTTTTAATGATTTTTACTTTCGTTCTAGTTTCTTGAGTTCTCAGTATTGCTGATTGCTCCTACCGTCCACATATATAATAACCAAAGGAAAGCATTCCTCTTACACATGAATTTGACAAGTATTTTTGACAAATAATCGTGACCTTTAATTTAAAGCAAATCCAACGGTTAGTATCTCATGAATCTCAAGTGATTATAGCTAACTCTCTCATGATCCTAATGAAATACATGCTGACCGTTGGATTTTCTTAAATTAAAGGTCACGATTATTTGTCAAAAATACTTGTCAAATTTATGTGTAGGAGGAATGTTCCCCATAACCAAATATATCAATTGATAACATGCTATCACAGTCAACAAAGATAGATTAGGCATGTTGCAACCCATTTATGAGAAAAAATGTACACGTCCCAGGATTTCAATAAACAAATCTAATTTACATGTAGGGAGGCAAGTTGCAGACTAAATTAAGGCCCCGTTTAAGCTCCATTATTTCCTCATTAAAATAAAAAATATGACCATTATCCATTACATCAAGCCACCATATTTGATTTTATATTCCTTGTGGAGAGTCCATAACGACTATATTTTTCATTCTAATTTTTACAATAATATGACTTAAACGGGGGCTAAACTGAATAGAAGATTAATAAACAAAGAAACCTGCTACGTGGCCCTGTCGCGTAGGCCTGTCCGTTAAGATTTTTCCATAAACAAATCTAATTTACTGCTTCTCTTCCCATTCATCCTGGTGTAATAGAAATAGATATACCTCAATGAGTGGGTCAATTGTTGTGTGCCCTGGTTACCTTCTCACTATTTCTCCAACTTGACCATGAAAAAGGGCAAGCAATCCTTAAATCAGATTTTTCTTCTGTTCTCTATTCTACTGCTTTTTACTTTTCTTTTTATCCTTGGTATCTGGCCTCATTTAAATTCACCAGTGCTACAACAAGAAAGGTACCCAACCCCGTCGGCTCAACACTGTTATGTGCTTAGAAATAGCTAAACAAAGTTATAAAACAATTTGGAAAAACATCCCAACTAAAAGTTGAAACAGATTTATACACAAAAGAGGGTAAAATATTTGTAAGTTGCTGCTGGTTGCAGTATTAGGACTCACCAGCAATAAGGAGATACTAGCAACCACAGTATACCAGTCGACTACAGGGTAAGAGAATCTTGTAATACGAAGGCAACAATAGCCAGCAATACTACCATGGACTTCATTAAGTGTAATATGAGTTTTGTACCAAATTAGAACTTCACTGCTCTAGGCGGTTTTAATCCAGATAAGTAAAGCTCAAGCATGGAATAGGAAATGAGTTAATTTTCCTTTTATACATATCAACTATGTAAACTGTGGTCCTTCAAGACAAATTTAGGCTTCTTTCCTATTAGTGTGTCATGTTCGAGCACATATTTATGAGAATTAAGAACTGTGTTTGCTTGAAGGAAACAAATGATTATTTTTTTAATTATTTTGAGTCAATATTATTTGACTCATTTACAGGAGGATTCATTTTCATTCTTCATCAACGTAATTCAACTACACGAGTTCAGATGTAAAACTTGATACGACCATCAGCTAAAAACTAGTCATGGTTGTAATTTAAGGAGAAGCAGCAAAGTTCAAAACAAACCTCAAATATAAGAAAACAGCAGCTTGAAGTAAATGACAACATATATTGAAAGAGAGAAGACAGCAAAGATATGTTGCCAAAAGAGGAGAGCCGAAGCTTCACTAACTGCATAACCTCTTAAGCTTGCAACTGCTCCCAACAAGATGGCACTTGGTGTTGTGTACTGCAATAGAAGCACGAATCGGTACATTTGATCCCCGGGGATCAGAAATTTTAGTTTATCTGCCAATAAAACTACGCCAGATCCAACCAAGGGGAGTACCAAAAGTCTAGCAACAATAATACCAATGGTAGTTCTTAGCCCGAGCTTAGATTCATTGGGACCCTCGGCAAGCATTCCTCCGAGGACAAGCATTACAGAAGGCACCATTGCTCCAGCCAAAATTTCTAAACTATCTGTGATGAATGCAAGTGGCGCATCGTCTCCATAAACAACCGATTTGATAGGAGGAACCATACCAACAATGAAAGCCAATAATGTAGCAAATGTTGGGGGCTGAAGAATGTGTTGAACTGGCGTTTTCTCAGCCACAATTCTTATTCTTCTGACAACCCGAGGCTCAGCTAAACATCTAAGAGATTTTGGACTCCCTGGAGCTGGAGCTGGAGCTGGACCTTCTTCAAGCAATGAATCGGGTTCTTGAATTGAATTTTGGGATACGCTGGATACATCCCCAAAAACTCTTGCAATTAATGGGGTTTTGCAATGTTCAGTTTCTCTATCTTCCATTCCAGGCCACTCGGCTTCCACAAGAAGTGGCCTACTGAGATCGTTTGAGGGTAATTGTTCTTGAATTTCAACACCGTCCTCAACAATATCATAATAATCCATCGGAGGCTCCATCATGTGGTAAACAAGAGTATAAACAAGAAGAACTGCAACCCATTGGGCAAAAGATACATAGGCTGTACCAGTAGTGTGACAAGTTGGGCCAAATGGATTATCAGAACTATGGCATACTGATGCAACAATAGAAAGAGGCAAATTGCCCGTATTCCCAAAGGCTGTCATAATGATTGTAAACCTAAAGTATTCTGGAGGTGGCCGACATATTTTAGCCACCAAGAACCCCAAAACACAACCAATAGCAGTGCTAAGAATCACATTAACAGGTATAAACCACCAGCGGGTGAAATTCTTGAGAGTAATAGTTTCCCCAAGATGAATAAAGATCATACAGGGCAAGAACAAAGCAAAAACAAGCTTGCTAAGAAGCTTGAAAGTGGCTCTTGGAACAAGTTGAGTTTTGGGGTGGGCTAGAATTAAACCAATAACCGAGAGACAAATAAGTTTCAACAAAGGAAGCACAGAACGAATAAGATCCTCATTTCTTGACCGCACGATGGTATTAGTTTGGGCAAACTGAGAATCCATTTTCAAACCTTCCCAATGAAGTTTCAATAACCTAAATCAAGCCCAGAGAGTTAGAATACTAATCAAGATCGAAACTTTACAAAAGGGGGTTCCTAAATTCTTATAGTATAAAGCAAGAACAGTGCCATCAAAAATTAAATTCACAAAAAGCGAAATTTCAAGAATTAGCAGGAATTGATTTTGAGTAAATCCCAACACAATAAAAATTCGATAACATCTGCAAAGGAGTAGAGCTTACTGAATATAAAAGATCAAATTTGAGCAAAGTTCTTGAACCACAGATGAGCAAAGATAAGTACCCTTTTTATCTGTATATGCAAAGAGAAAAAAGAGATACAAGTTCAGGAAGCGACAAGCGTGCTGAATGAAGGCTAAAATACCTTCAATAATGCATCTGAAACTGCTAAGACGCCCCTAATTTTTTCGATCTTTTTATATTTTGGTAGTTCTATATACAACAAAATTAATCACTCTATCCTCTTATTATAAATGTTTGAATGTGGTTCGTTGATAGCAACATGAAATTGAGTGATTAAATTGAATATCTAAACATGGCCCATATGCAGCCATCAATTAATTTGTGTGTGTGATGTGATTATTGATGATTTCTATTACCAATTACGACTGTCTGCTGAATTATTGATTTGCACTAAGAAATTATATTAGATTTTACTACATAATTTGTTAAATATTGGTATTAACTTTATGCTAGAGCACAAATAACATTATATTAATTGATGAATAAATTTACGATGTGTCATGATTGAATTAAATTTATTATCGATCAATTGAATATATTGACTATTTATTTACTTACAATTTTTCCCCCTTGGGGAAAGGAGTAGGTGAAAGATTAAAAAGGGTTAAGGTCTTAAGATTGCAACAAATCAGATTTAACTTTGCTTTAAATATAATAGAGATGCTGACTTTGAGTTAAATGTAATAGAATCATAGATATTGCCCTTGTCAGTAATGTATCAACGGAAGAATAACTAACAGTATGTTTACCTAACCTTAAACCAAGTGGCAACTGCTTTTTATGTAATTTTTTTTTCTCTTGGTGTTGAATAAACCCAAACATGCTCTATTTAAAAAGTAAATTTTGACTAATGAAATTTACATTTTTTTCAAAAAATATTAAGAGCTTGTTTGGTAGTGATTTTGAAAATTGATTTTTTGACCGATGGGAGAAAAGTGGGGTCCATCTGTGAGAGAAGAAGTCAAATATGACGGTTGGAATAGTGAAACAACGGTCAAAAAATTAATTTTTTGGGTGAAAAAATCTGGCCCAAACAGGCCCTAAGTAACTCTTAAAGTAGATTTAAGTTTAGTAAATATATCCTAATACCGTGTTTGATCTAGAAAGTCAATAAAAAGTTAGTTTTTTTGGGGACAATATCATAGGAATAACGCTAAAAAATCATCTTCTAATGGATTTTAATCAGGACAAGACATGTAAACTATTTTGTGCACGCATAAAATGATCTCTATTGCATTTTATCCTTCTTGATACTTATAGAGAACTGTTGCTTAATAGATGAGCAAAGATAAGTACCCTTTTTATCTGTATATGCAAAGAGAAAAAAGAGATACAAGTTCAGGAAGCGACAAGCGTGCTGAATGAAGGCTAAAATACCTTCAATAATGCATCTGAAACTGCTAAGACGCCCCTAATTTTTTCGATCTTTTTATATTTTGGTAGTTCTATATACAACAAAATTAATCACTCTATCCTCTTATTATAAATGTTTGAATGTGGTTCGTTGATAGCAACATGAAATTGAGTGATTAAATTGAATATCTAAACATGGCCCATATGCAGCCATCAATTAATTTGTGTGTGTGATGTGATTATTGATGATTTCTATTACCAATTACGACTGTCTGCTGAATTATTGATTTGCACTAAGAAATTATATTAGATTTTACTACATAATTTGTTAAATATTGGTATTAACTTTATGCTAGAGCACAAATAACATTATATTAATTGATGAATAAATTTACGATGTGTCATGATTGAATTAAATTTATTATCGATCAATTGAATATATTGACTATTTATTTACTTACAATTTTTCCCCCTTGGGGAAAGGAGTAGGTGAAAGATTAAAAAGGGTTAAGGTCTTAAGATTGCAACAAATCAGATTTAACTTTGCTTTAAATATAATAGAGATGCTGACTTTGAGTTAAATGTAATAGAATCATAGATATTGCCCTTGTCAGTAATGTATCAACGGAAGAATAACTAACAGTATGTTTACCTAACCTTAAACCAAGTGGCAACTGCTTTTTATGTAATTTTTTTTTCTCTTGGTGTTGAATAAACCCAAACATGCTCTATTTAAAAAGTAAATTTTGACTAATGAAATTTACATTTTTTTCAAAAAATATTAAGAGCCCGTTTGAGAGTGATTTTGAGAATTGATTTTTTGACCGTTAGAAGAAAAGTGGGGTCCACCTATGAGAAAAGAAGTCAAATATGACGGTTGGAATAGTGAAATAACGGTCAAAAAATTAATTTTTTGAGTGAAAAAATCTGGCCCAAACAGGCCCTAAGTAACTCTTAAAGTAGATTTAAGTTTAGTAAATATATCCTAATACCGTGTTTGATCTAGAAAGTCAATAAAAAGTTAGTTTTTTTGGGGACAATATCACAGGAATAACGCTAAAAAATCATCTTCTAATGGATTTTAATCAGGACAAGACATGTAAACTATTTTGTGCACGCATAAAATGATCTCTATTGCATTTTATCCTTCTTGATACTTATAGAGAACTGTTGCTTAACGAAACTTCAAATTTATCAATTTTCAAGTTCAAGATCTAGACCATATTTTATCCTTATTTCTTAATTTATTTATTTTTAAATTCAATTTCAATCATATATTTTATGGGATTCACAATTTTTAATAACGCATTTTATTAAATTTTATCAAATTTACGAATAATTTGATTTTTATCTAAATTGAAATGAGTTTTCGTATGTATGTGTGTGTGAAAGTATCAACTAGGATGTACGCACAACATTATTCTTCTTGTTAATAGTTCTACTTTATTTTATTACAATAAGTGGTAGAATTAGGGTGCGAATTTTGAGGTCTAATTTAATTATCAAAATTTTTCATAAAAAGGAAAAATAGTATAAAAATTAAAATTAAAATGCCATATAATTTATGGTTTTAAAAGTTTCTGTGGGGTTAGGGACACATTGACCCCACGTCCCTCAACCAAACATTATGGTACCGATGACTTGTCGATCGAGCAATTTCCTAGCAACATCACATCCTCATTTCGGCTCCACTGGCCCCACTTCGCCAAACATTCTATTACCAATTAGTCAATGACTTAATCGTTTTTGTTTTTTTATATTTAGACTTAATTGATCAGTAATTTGAACAATTTCCTAGTAACATCCATCATGAGACGATAGGTCCACGTAGGTCTATGTCAAATATAAAGACAAGGGTTTTTCTATTTGTACCACGCCCTCACAAGAGGGGGGCCCCACGATGTCGAGTGTCAACCTCGGTTACAAGTAGCAAGGTCGAAAAGACAATGGGTTCGGGACTTAGTTTTTTGTCCTCCATTACAATCAATCAATTGGTACGTAAAACTTAAATTACTTTTAAATAAATTTTAATCTCTAAATATATTTAGGTAATTTATTTTTCTTGTAATTCAAGGATTACTTTAGTATCAAAAATTTATTTTAAAACTTGTGTACTCATAATTAAGTTATTTAAGCTTAGTCAAAGGCTTTTAAGAAATGGAAGCACTCAAATGTAGTGCATGAAACCTCTCTTTATGAAAGTATTCTATGATTAAAGTAAATGATTGTTACAGATAACAAACGAAGCAAACAATGGTTGGAATTAGTTTATTTGATTAAACCAACAATAACTGATGAAGTAATATAAACAATTCTTAATTATATAGGTAAACAATAAATTTTGTAATTATTGACAATTATTGAAAATGCAAACCACTTCTTGCAAACAATGAAGTAATATTTTAAAATTCTAGTTATTATAAAAATTGTACTAAAATTGACACCTGCACCCTGGGAGTGACACGTGAGACTTTCTTACAGATTTTCTTAGTAAATCTTTAAATTCAAACTTTTAATAACAATTTAATTAATCAATAAATAATCACATCATCATGACAGCGGTGTGTGTCCAACCGTTATATATGTTCCTTCTCAATAAAGGTGGAGGTGGACTCTTTGGTCACCTTTAATTTTCATTCCATTTTTTTTTCTATTTTTAATCGTACAATTTTTTTATAAAATAATATTACATATAAATCGAAAATTTTTTATTCATTTACAACCATTCATTTTTAAAAAAAAAATATTATTCCATTCTTTTCATTTCTATAAAATGGGGGCCGAACAAGGGGCTAAAATACTCAGATAAAACCAAATTGGGAGGTTGCCTCATCAAGCATTTTCTCGCCCTTTTACTCCTTTAGGGTAGAGTAGGGTGGGTGGGACGGGGAGGACGAGGGTGGGGCATTTTTTTTTATACCCATATAATTTTTTTTTTCATTTTTAGTTTTTGATAATTAATTTTATTGTTTTCATTCATTGGACAATAATATAATTATCAAAATTTTTAATTAATTAATTTACTTTTAAAAGTTAAATTATTCAGATCTATTTGATAAACTAAGATTTTTATTGTTTATAATATTTTTTAGATAATACTAGTTGCTATCTTCTATTAAATGAAATTCCGTGAGTTTTTTCATTTTAAATATTTAACTCTTTACGAAAAATTAAACAAAGCGGGGGAGTGGCGGGGCCCATGTTACCCGTACCCACCTTGGGGGTGAAATTCCCCGCCCGTGCCTGACCCCATTGCTCTATTAAACGGGTAATCCATGCTCCGAAAACGAGTTTGACAGATATTTTTGTCATTCCTATTAGGACAGGGTTCTATATATTCTCAAGTATTATTCAAACATATCCAAGCAGAAACAAATTCTTTAACATCATTTCCCTGGCTTTGATGATCAACTTGGCACTAAGTCCTCGTTTCGTCCCATTTTTTGGAAAGGAAAATAGGTGGAATGATTTTTTTTTGAAAAATAAGTGGTTGAAAAATAAGGAAAAGTTTTCGATTTATGTATAATATTATTTTATGAAAGATTGTGTGATTGAAAATAGGAAAGAGAAAAATAGAATGTAATCGAATTTAATGTAATGAAATTCAAACAGGGCTAAAACAATTTTGATTCGTTGAATATTCCCTTCACACCCACCCTCACCTCCAACAAATAAGATTTTGACAAATAATTTTGAAAATAAAAAATTTGGTACTCCAACTCTATCATGATACGATTAATGTAATTGATTTTGATTAATTGAACATTTTTCAAATATTTGACTGTATATTTGGCTAATATTTTGCAGTTGACACCGGCTATAAAATGCCGGGATTCTCTAAACACTGTAAGTCGGAATCCTCTAGAAATATTCGCAAAATAAGGCAAAGTTG